CAAGGGGAAGCATAAGTCTGCTGACCTTGCTCCTCATAGAAGTATGGTATTCCAAGACTATGAAGATATGGGATGAGAGGGCGGGGATTGTAGGCCTTGCTTCCTGGATCCACTGTTACTGCTCCCAGTGAGAAATACAATCGTTGAGCCTTTGCTATGAACTGATACTGTCGAAGGGTATGAAGCAAGGACATGGAGTCTTTTCCTCCAGACAAGCAGACCAGGACACGATCTCCTCCTTGAATCATCTGGTACTCCTCCAATGCCTGTATGAAGAATCTTTCATGAAGTTCTGTGGGGTACGACTGACATTAGTGAGGTGAGGATACTCCATTACCTCAAGAGCAGATTTGATGATGGATTTAGGAGGAGAATGCCACTGCATTTGCTCCACTGGTATATGGATCTCTTCTGAGGATTTATGTAGTCCCCTCTCATGAGTCTTTCCTCCTTCCTCTCCTTTTCTTAAGAACTCAAGGTTTTCATCTGGACATGAGAATTTTCTCCTGTTACCTAATTTCAAATCTACTGTCTTTTTTTCCTTGGGTGGCTTGAAGTGCTTCCAGACACTTTGAACACTGTTCAGAAAGGATTTTCCATCATGATGAGACTCTTGGACTCGGTCATCTTGGTGATGTTGCTCTTGATGCTTGACAAAGGATGCCAACTGACTCCGAGCAGATGTGTGAAGTTCATTCAAGGGGTCATACATTCCTTCATGGAAATCTGTCCAATAGGACTCATGGTTCTTTGATTGAGAGTCATCCACTTGATGGTATGTTCTAGGGGTGAATGGTGCCTCTGGCAGAGAAGATATCTTCCCCAAATGCATCAAGATGTCTCTTGCTTCACTAGGAAGTAGGAACCAACGCCACTTGTTTACTTCGTCTGAGAACAAAACAGACTCATCAGGAAGCTTCCGATGGGCCACCAGCTATAAAGTAGGACAACAAAAGAAAATATGCATAAAAATTATGCAATGATATGGCGTTTTCCTCCATGTATATCCCAAGTCAAGGCAAGGGCATAAAGAAATGGATATGTTTGTCCTATGTCACCTTAGATGCATCAGTGAAGATGGATGTGGCCTCATTCATACATTCAGTATATGTTGCTGGTGGCTGCCTTGAAGTGGGTAGCTCAGGCACCAGGTCATGTCCCACTTCACCATCATGGAAATGAAGACGACTCAGCCATTTTCGGTCCTTGAAAGCCTAAAGTCACGATTACATCTTTTAATGTTGTACAAAAAACCACTCTAACAGGAACCTCTTTAAAGAGGAAGAGAGAGGATTGCATGAATTATCTGGCTAAAACAGCATGTATTTCTAGAGAGGACACTCAATCATGATGGTGAGACTATGCATGGGAATAGGTAGGTATCAAATCAGTAAGAGGTGGCTCATCTCACAGTTTCTGTATGATGCAACCATTCCCCTGTCTGTAGATTGAAGCGATACAAAGGCAGAAGCTTCCAGCCATCTTTAGCTATCAATTTCACAGCTTCAATTATGAAATCAATCTCCTCTGCAGAACTGAAGTAGCTCAAGTTGATGCGAGCAAATCCTGGCCTCAATGACTCATTATCAGTCCCCTCTTCATGCCTTCGGAGGTGGGTTCTGTCCAGACGACTGAAACAGCCAATCACAAGGAGTCTACATTATAAAATGTAAATAATTATTGCACACCAATATTACCCTACCCAATGTTTAAAAATTCCCCTCTTCATGCCTTCGGAGGTGGGTTCTGTCCAGACGACTGAAACAGCCAATCACAAGGAGTCTACCATTATAAAATGTAAATAATTATTGCACACCAATATTACCCTACCCAATGTTTAAAAACCCACTCCCACCAATGTCTGAGGGAGAGAAAATTGATACAGATTCATGAAAAATTATAGCACCTGTCTTCAAGGAGGAGACATTCATATTGATGAGCAATTTTGACATCTATGCCAAGAAGATTCTGAGCATAAGGTCCAGCACAGGCACAGCCACCTCTTGCTTGAATTCCAAACAGGTCATTGAGAAGGACACATATAAAGTTGTAATGCAAGAACAAGTTTCTCTTGGGGAAAGGCTTCACTAAAAAGGAGAAGATTGCCAATCGAGTCTTCCATTGACTTCCAAGGATCACCAGCTCTTCAACATCATTCCATGCATTCCAAGCTTTCCTATGATATTCAAAAGAAAGAAAGCAACACACAATGAAACTTATTAGTGCATTTTCATGATTAGAAACCTCAAATTCACAAGAAATGTGAAAGTGCTGCTTTGGTTCCCACAGAGAGTGCTGCCAAGAAATCAGAATTAATCAGACAAGTCAGATTTACTTCACATAAAAACTAATGCAGTCTGATGACATGCAGACCTGCATATTTCCTCCTCGTTTCTCATTATTCTGGTGGGGTTAACCCACATCTTGAGCTGCATTGCGAGCCCTGCTCTGATGCTTTGAATGATTGCTGGTGTGCCTCCTTCTTCACGATTCTCAATGTCCTGCAGTGAAATGATAAACATGAGGCTCAAATTCAAGTGAGAACAATGTGCCATTGCACTAACAAGAGGTATAATACCTTGAGGTAACGATGATCCTCTTTGGTGACAAAGAAAACTGTGCCCCCTCCACATGTTTCAGGCACAATATTCCTGAATAGATTCTTCTTTGCAATCAAAATGCCTGAAAGGAATTCATACATGCACAATTGGCTCAAAATATTTCAATGCACTAGATGAGAGGATTTTATTAGAATATCTCAGTGTTTCCCAAATGGTGTGCCACCAGTAAGGCTTAGGTATGCTGTGAAATTTGAGAGTTGACAAAAAAAACTAAAAACCAAATACTAAAATAACTTAAAAACAAGAGAGAAAGCCATCTGTCAGTGGAAAACAAGTGGAGAGTTCACTATTACCCCTCATATCAAACTGCTGGATTCAGCAAAGCAAGCACAAGTTTCCCATTGAAAGTAAGTAAAAGGCTGGGTGTGTTGTGGAAAGTTCAGGTGTCCACATGTGTGCTGCAAAAAAAAAGTTTGGGAACCATTGGAATATCTTATCCCTATCATTTAGGTGAATGACTTAAACCCTTAAACTAACAGTGCTCACATAAACTAAGCTAACATATGAGGCCCAACAAAAGTAATAAGGAGAACTCTCCTCGAACACACCGCACATGAACGAAGTGAATAATTTATATTTTCTAGTTTAAAAGTAACTTGCATTTTTTGCTGTGAAATAAATGACAGGCAATTCATTTCAGCTTATTATATATGATTCTCCAGATTTATAAATTTAAAAACATTTCTTCTGTTTTGACACATTTTAATAGTAAGATCGTCGTCTTAAGAAGTTCATGTTGGTTTTTATGTTTTGTAAGTGGAGTTTACTGTACGTCACATAAACCTTCCATCCGTATACGGACGTCAGTAAGTCCTACTCCTTTAAGGTAGTTGAGTTTAGGTACTTTCAAATTCAAACTTTCCCTACAATTGGATCTGTCGTTGAGAGGTGATTTTCAACAATTTGACATAAAAATTGTGAGAAAAAAAAATTAACAAAGCGGTATAAGGAGTTTGTCCAGTTTTGGCCCCAAGAACAGATTTGAGTAAAAAAAACTAAACAATTCAATTGGTGTTCTTTACTAAGCTCAAAAAAAGCAATTTTATTCAAATATAAGCAGTTTGGATAGGTTAGGTTAGGTAAGATTACATTTGGTTAGTCTAAATGTCCAAATTTGAACAAGTCTTCTAAATACTTGCCCCTGTCTTGCCTCTGTTGATCTCCAATCAACAAAGAAAAACATTAGGTTAGTTGTAAACATGGTAATCCTCAAGGAAATGCTTTGTTCAATAGTCTTGCCCACCAGAACAGTGGAACAAAGTAAGGCGTTTGCTCAAAAGGGTTTTTGGCCTCAAAATAGAACTTGACCCAATAGGTTTTTTTTTTATAATGCTCACAGTAAAGTATAAAGCGAGAATCTTGAATTTATTTTCAGACTTATTCAGGGTGAGGCATTAATACCTGATGGTTTTTAATTGTAATAACAAATGACTGATAGCAGATACATTTTATAGTGATATATTTTTAAATTCTGCATACATTGGAGAATCCAGTTTTCCACTCCTCATATTTTTTTTGAATATGAAATGTATCTGCTATCAGTCATTTGTTATTACAATTAAAAAACCATTAGGTATTTATGCCCCACCCTGTGCAACTAACCTAACCCATACTAACCAAACTTAATCTAACCTAACCTAACATAACTTCCTCAAGCTGCTCATATTTGAATAAGAATTGCATCTTAAGTACATCAGAGTTCTCTTCAAATAAATCATAGTTGGTGAAATTTAGTTTTGGAGCCAAAACCCCTATGCTCTTGGCAAATTCCATACTTTTTGCATCATGTTCATTATAGCTTTGGAGGAGCATTAGTTCTTAAACCTTGACTCATTAAAAAAAAAAGAGAGGTCATGACTAGAGCTTATTCAGGCAACTCCTCAATTTTTGTGCCTTCTCTTTCTTATGTTAAGAAGTTTTGCTAAGTAGGAAAAGTCTCTAGAAAAAATGTTATCCTGAATTGTTCATTTAGCAAATGACAAAATATGGCAAAAACATATAAACAATGCATTTGTGAGGATAACTTCCAGGGTGTGCATTTCTAAAAATGAGTGCATAGCCATTGTAATGAAGAATCAGTATATCATCTAAAAAATTTCCTTCACTTAAAAAAAATTCTTTTCACATGTATCTAATACATTTCAAGAGTCGATCTTCAAGGATCATATTGCTTTACAAGAAGCATATCAGATGTAACCCTATGTACATGAAGGGAAAGGAATAATTGTAGCCACATTCAAGAACAGAAAACAGGAAGGCCTTTCATCTCCCTCCAGTACAAGGAAAGTGTGAGTCAAAGCTACCCTAAAAACACGTTGGCAGCTATAGAATTAATGGGGAATCCCTTGGGTCACAGTTCAAACAAAAGGCATGATGTAGTGGAGCCATGACTCACCAGGTGTCTCAACTCCTCCTACAAACTTGTGCATAGAGAAATACAGGGCATCCTTGTACACCAATCCCAGATATGGTCCAGGAACTACTGGATTCATATCCACCTTTACATATGGAGCTATAAACAAAACAAGTGACATCATCAAGAAAAAACATGCTCAAAAAGATATACAAGATTCAGTAGTACAACCAGATTTGTTAGCAGTGGGAATATTTCTGCTACAGCCACAGGAGAGATAGGCCCACACCTACCTCTCCCCCCTCCCTTCATATACACCTCTTGGGGGGGGTTCATTTCCCTGAACCATTTTAGAACCTTGCATGCTGCCAGTTGTTGAAAAAAGTATAGGAAAATTCCAGACTTTGGATCCTTATCCAAAGGAGAACTGCCATATTAGAAAAAGGTAGGTGTCATGGAATTGACATGCAGGCTCCTGCCCTGGAAAGAATTTGAGGGTGAATAAAAAGTCTTTCAAGACTACATCATGTCCTAGCATGTGGAATTTAACGAAGATTACCTGGCAACTACATTGATTAACCAAAAACCACCATTGTAAGGAAAAGTGATGTGTTGGTCAATAGTACTCCACAATAGATGCAGCCAGTGTCATAATGGCAAGCTCTCAGCAACATGCAAACAATACAGGGTATGGCAAAAAAAAAAGACCAACGACTTTCAACCTAAATATCTTCCCTCCCAATAGTTATTTTTGTAAACTTTCACATTGCATATATGAGTATTTTTCCAACTGATACCTCAAATTTCACCCAAATTCGTTGTGCCAAAACAATTCTATCAGCAATTATTGAAAGGAAGTTAGACATTGAGAATGGACTAGAGCTTCTGTTGGTAGCAGAGTGGAGGATACACTCAAGTGCCGACCCTCCTGTTTTGCTGCCTCCTAGGGAGTTTTGCAAAAATAATTCTCTTGGGAGGGAAGATATTTAGGCTGAAAGTCATTGGTCCTTTTTTTTTCCATACCCTGTACATCTCCAAAGAGCTACTGGTGAATCCACTTTCTTGAAAAAGATGTGGACAGTGACAAAATGTAGACCTATTTAATCCAGAAAGAAAAAAATCAGAGTTCTGTGGGGAATTCCCCTTCATCACTGCGACCCAAAAAGTACTGCATGGTACTAAGCAGCTAAGTCAAGCTCATGGTCTTCCAATAAGAGGGTATCATTCATTATGAATATATTTCCAAGGGTCAGGCAGTTAATGAACAGTTCCATGTGGAAGCACCTAACACTATGTAACTTTATGTATTTCCATGTCAAAAAACAAACCAAGGGCATTGTTCCACTAATTTAGATTATATTAAAATAGCCATGATGGTAATACTCCAGAAGCTCACATAGGAATAGCCATAACAATGCTTCTAGCAGTTACAACATTGGCAGAGACAGACATGCAGGAAGGGACTATTCAAAAGAATGTGGTAGTTAAATTGTTATGACCATTAACCCTTTCAGAGCTCACGGGCGATTTTTCAGCCATGTCTACTACTTCTAAAAATGATGTAGGTCAATTTTATACAATCTAACAAGAACTCCAACTACATCAAGGAAGAAACCTAACGAAAAGCTGTGGCTGAAAATTTGGCCTTTTCGTAAAATTTGTCCTCATGTACACGGATTTTTTAAACAGGTGTCGTGATTTTCCCAATTTCATTCCGAATTCTTTTTTTCAAGTCTTTGAAAGACTGAGTGAGTGTACGACTAAAAAGACTATGAAAGCAACTTGACAGATAATAATCAGCTGGCTATGTAACTGAACATTTTGCAATCTGATCCATTTTAGAAAATTTGGAATTGTGGAAGAATCTGATGTCAGATTCACAGGGAGATGGTTGCCAGTCAATGCCTATGCAGCTCAGCATGTTGACTGGGAGTGATGGGTGGAAAAAGAAGAAAACCTGAATCTAGATGGAAAAATAAATCAGATAACGTAAACTGTGGAGGTCCAGTTTTCCTCTGGAATGGGAATTATGCAGTTTCATAGAATTACTATCACTGCTGCCTTCTGGTATATATAGAGTGATACAATAAAAGGCATACACATTTGTGCAAGCAAAAAATAAACATTGCATTATCCCATCACAGACCAACTAAATAGAACAGACAGGCCATATCATCTGTACATAACACAACTCAAGTAATGCTGTCTGTTGACAATGACCAATATGAGAGATAAGAGAACTAAATGGGTTTACACTTTTTATTATACCAATGGCTGGAATGTATATAAGAAAATAAACAAGGCGGATGTCATGAGCAGGCCTTCTGTAAATCTGGCTAGGACTGATATAAAAGTTAAAGATGCATTAAGAAGAATAGTAGGTTATATTGATAGAATAGTGCTCTTCTAATGCACAAAAAAAGGTGGTTCTTGGGATGAGAGTAAACTTCTAGCAAAGCTTACCAGCAGCAGCATAGTCCCAGAAGGCAAGTGCTCCATGAGAATGAAGAAGGGCTGATATGGCCAGATCTTCTGACAATATACCAGTTATGTTTGACGCAGCTGCGAAACATCCTATTAGCTGCCTGTCCCCTTTGTGGTGCTCTCGCAATTTGTTCTCCAAGTCACACAGATCCACACTTCCATCTTCTGTTTCTTCTATTTGTATCACCTGCAGATTCAGCAGAAAAGAATTTCATTTTAATGTTGATTATAACTTTGTCAAGTAAAATACAAACTCCAATTATATTTTAGGACTCATCACCTTGGCAGCAATTTCCCTCCAGGGAAGAAGATTTGAATGATGTTCATGTGGACCCACATATACAATAGGAGGTTTTGGTAAATCTAGGGCATGTATCAGGTGATGCACAGCTCCAGTTGTTCCATTTCCCACAAAAAGAACTGCATCATGCTCTGAGGCATTAGTAGCATCGCGAATAATGTCCCTGGCTTCATGTCTGAAAACACAATAATCATACATACATGTAAGTTAGAGCAAAATATAAGAATGACAGTACAATACACAAACCAAGTGCATCCAGCCATGTAGAGTCCATGAAAGAATATTTATTTGTTAACATCACAACAAGATGTGGGTTGCAACAACTACAGAGAAATGAAAAGAATGGCAGAGCAGAGAGAGGAATGGAGAGCTGCAACAAACCAATCTAAGGTGGCTACATTACATTATGACCAATCACTGAGTTGGGCCAAGAAGGCAACAAAAACTATGAGGACTTTGAGACTTTCCTTGAAAAAACTGGTCTTTGAATTTACAAAAATTTTACACTACTAACATTTTGCATCCACTCCCCCCAACAAAGCATCATGGTTGGAAGATCTGACAAATACTGACCAAGACAAAGACTGGTTGAAAATAGGGCAGCAGGTACCAAACCAACAAGTTCTACTCATAATCACTTTGCCACTCAGAATACTATAACTGGAATGCTACAATTTGCTTACACTACAAATCTGAACTAGAGTCCAGTTGCTAACTAACCTATAGTCGCAACAGACTTCGCTCCAGTGTGAACACCACCACACGCACAAACGTATCACACCCTCTTGAAGGAGGAATTCTTTCAGAAGTTACATCAAGTGTCGAGCAGGACTTCGTCACATCAGTGTTATGTCAACTGGAAGAACAAACACAGGAGAACACTTGAAGTCTATGATTGAAAAACTTTATTTATGAGGTAGTCAAGGAATGAACACAAACTTGGTGCACTCACACAACTTTACTGAAAACCATGTGAAGTAAAAATACAAAGATGATAAGCCTACAATTCCAGTAGACCTACGTATAGGATGGACACAAAGTTTACCAAAAATAAAAAATTCTACAGGCTTAGCAACAAAAGCTACTAAGTTGAATCTTTGCGAGAAGATAGTAGAAAAGTGAACTTTTTTTCAAGAGCCACTTGTTTGTTTTGAATAAGAATAGCATGGAGACACCAAGCAAATATTAATTTCCTTTATGTTTTCATTGATTTTGGTCCAGTTTATTCCAAGAATTCCATGGATTCTGCTACCTTTTCTTCCATTTGTGGGTGAATAATGCCTGAGAACTTTGACAAAAGTGATTAATAAAATGTCACACTAGAATCTAAAAGAAATAAAAATTATTTTATTGATGGATATAAAGAGTTCCACTCAAGTGCAAAGAATTCTTACCTTTCAGGGCACATTTTAACAGGGAACCTCCAGCAAGATTCACAATCAGAATATTAATGAAGAAGTTTCCTGAAACAGGAAGAGTGTACACAGGTGTACAGGAAGTGTGTACACAGGCACACACTGGTACCCAGTGTGTGCCTGTGTCCACCTTGAGCAGGTCAAAGAGAGAGAAATTTTTGAAAATTTGAAGAAAGAGTAATTTTAGAAATTATTTTCCCAGCTATCTTTTTGAGGTTTTTACAAGTTAGATTACAGAAAGAAATATACAGGGTGTTCCATAAATAGGTACCCATTTTTATTTCTTGAATCCAACAAGCATACACAACTTTCCAGTTGAAACTTATATGGAACAGTTAGAGTAATCTTTAAAGTTTTGTTCAGTACTTAACATGTCCAGCTTCTCTTTCAATTCACACTTTCTTCATCAAGAACAGAGTTTATGCCACTCGCCCAGTCCTTGGATGAGCTATGAGATTACATTACTAATGTTGTTCAGGGCATATCTTGTGTCATCTGGGCAGAAGTTAAGGATAATTTTGTTCATAGTCTCCAGACTTGTATTGAAAGAGGTGGACAGGTTTAGCACTAAACAAAACTTCAAAGATTACTCTAACTGTTCCACATAAATTTCAACTGGAAAGTTGTGTATGTATATTGTATTAAAGAAATAAAAATGGGTACGTATTTACAGAACACCCGGTATATTCAAGAAGTACATAGCAGAAAATAAGGATCTCATTGCTAGCAGAACTAGAGAAGCTGCATTACTTTTAATTCTTTACATTTAATTTTTTTTTAAGCTTGAGCATGCTTCCCAAGCCTTATTGAACCCAGAAAACTAAATAGAATATTTTCACAACATAAAACATGAAAAAGACATGAAAGGGTGAACTCAACTAAATTGCACCAAACATCAATCCCAGTCATGGGCTCCTACCCGGGCCTGACAGTCTTGCTAATTGCTAGGTCAGTCCTACTTAGTCACAGGGAAAAGTACTTCAGGCCTACCTTTTCTTTTGCCAAATGGTCCTGTGAAAACAAGGTCCACACCAATCAAAGATGAGTGTATGAACTTCAGTAACTGCTCCCCATCATCTTTATCCTCATTTTTAACTTGTGCAGCTGAAAAGTCACTAGGCAGATGATAGAATTTCCTTGCTCCTTGAGGCTTGCAAGAACTTTTTGCAGCCATCATCACTTATCTACATAATTTGAGCATGAATAAAATTGGACATATTAGATCTTGAACAATTCCATTTCATTGCTCACTCACATAAATACAATACAATAGAGGACCATGTACAAAATTAAACTAACAAACCAAAGGGAATGCAACACAGATAGACAGCCTATAACTACACCCTACTTTAGCACTTGACACAATATAAACTTCTAAATGGCCCTTGATTCAGTATATCTTATGAATGGATGGCTGAAGCTAGTAGTCCTATACCCATACTTCCCAAGTGCAGGCAGAATAGAAGCAAAGATGCAAAATATTATTGGTTATTGGATACATGCTGATATTAAGAAAACAGCATAATAGCCCCTCTGATATACAAGCTGTAAATATCATACATGGCAGCTATTGCAGCTAGGCCAACTGATATTCAACACCAAGGATGACTACTGAATAATGAAGGAAAAAACAAACAATCCAGTTCTTTATGATTACTCTGTCCTGCAGGTTTGGCAGCTTGTCCTCCTTCCCTTGCTCAACCCTTCCCTCAACAAGAGGGTTTGGCCATCAAATACATATCCTTTGACAGCAGGTAATATGTTGGCATGTTGACACATACTGATTATCTGTATCTATGCTGCAGCTTTGACTTTGCAGTTTGTGGCAGGTAGACAACCCACTCTGGCACAACAATTGATGCAGTCAGGATTAACCAAATCATCAGAGAAATTCTTTCTTCATTCCAAGAGTATTCTCTAAGTCACTGAGGACAGAAACAGAATACCTTCAATCCAAAGAGTGGTTGGGTGTCTTGTGAACGAAAATACCATAGTACTGTATTTACTGCACAAGTAAGAGTAATTTTCCTACATTTTCCAGAGGTTGATGATTAAGAGTGTATTATATAGCTGTCATGCATTAATATGGGCTCCTGTGACATTTATAGCCTTGCAAGGTTTCCAGAACAAAAGATAACGAGTGTGCATATTGGAAAAACAGGTAGATCAAGCAAAGCAGAGAAGCAATCAGAGGAGAGAGTTCAATGTCTGTTTAGTGAAGAATGGGAATGTGGATAATGTGTGCATGGGAGGGGATGTGAATGTGTAAGAAAAGAGTTTCTAACTCAGCTGTTTTGCTGTTGGAACAGATGTGGGATGGACTTCAAGTTCTCTAGCAGCTCTAACTGATTTCTTTGCTTTTGTTTCTCTCATCTCCAACAGGTTTTTTTTCTCAATGCTCCAGTTTTCCCTTACCTGAGGATTTCAAACCTTGGTTCTGCTGCAAATGCTTTTACAGAATCTACTTGATATGCCTTCAGAGAACTAGCAATCCTGCATTCCTTCTTTCCCCCAAGAGGTTTAGGCCTACACCGATGTTTTCCATTCCCATTAAAATGGGCTTTTTGCGTTGTATTGCAACCTCCAGCATCCATTAAATCACAGTGCAATCTAAGGCTTTCTGACAGACTCAAAAAGGCGCAGCTTTTCCTTATTTCTTTCACTGAACTCCTGTTGCTAATAAAAGTTGGCATTGTCCTTCGCAAAGTATAGGTGACAATTGAGTACAACGTTACGCTAGGCTTTGGGTATCAGGCATACTTGCGATTGAAATCACCCCAATTTGTACCCCCGAGAGTAAAGGGGTGGGGGAATCAATGAGCATTAGTCTATGCGTTGACCTGTAGTTAGCTTACCGAGGTTAGACATTCAGGTTCAAGCATGGTCCATGAGCTGGATTACATGGTGGGGGGGGAAGGGTTGGGGAGAGTCACACTTGGATACATTCAGGCGCATTAAGCGCGCATACATGCTGATGGTAGTGACAAGGGCTGCCAGTTTGTGTACTGTACGGATAAAAGTACCCGTTGCGTACGAAAAAAAATTGATTTCTCTAGCAGAGAATATGCCTTTTAAATAGCAAATTCCCTAACGGTTTCTCCAACTGCAGACAACAGGAATACATATTGAACATCCTATGGTCCCACATGGTTCATAAGTGAGAGTGTGCCAGTGCCGGTGCCAGAGGAAGACAGGGGTCGACGACCCTCACCTCTGATCATCTTCCCCTCTCGTCAAAATTTAGCCGAAGGCTAAATTTCAAATTTCAAAACAAATTTTGACATTTGTTTTGTGAACTGAGGCATGGTAGACATGGGTAGGGTGACCATATTTTTTTTAAAGGAAAATCCGAGAAATGTTGTTAAGATTAAGTATCAGAGAACGAGTGACCGTCGTCCATTACGATAAAAGTGCAGATGGCTAGTTATTTCCCATCCGGTACATACAATAAATTACTAAATCCTTTAAACGAGAGTATGGATGTCCAGTAAAATTTAAAAGCGCACGCTCCTGTCCATTATTCTTGTTTCCACAAAAACAGGTTGAAATTAGTGAAGAGAATCTGGAGGTGTAAGTATTTTAATATGTTTGATGAGACATGCGCCAGCTGCTCTTCAAAAAACTTCCCTCCCAAGCGATAGCCGTTTACGCTTCGCAGTGGAACGACACAATCTGACGCGCAGATACACTTCTCTTTCCGTTAAAGGGTAGTTTTTTTTACTTTTTTCCCTCAACTTTCTTTTGTGGGATTTCAATGCC